GCAGCTTCTGCTTTCAGTCCTCAGTGTCATAATGTGCAGTACCTCCAATCCAGAGCAGAGCTGCAGAGAGTTTGATCAGACCTGCTGTCATCATTGTTGTGTTCTGAGAAGAGTAAGAAACCAGAGTCCATATCAGTGTGTGTGATGGGAGGTGGGATGTTGACAAGCTGCTTGATGATCAGTCAAAGTACTGGAGGTCCCCCTACTGTGCAGGAGGTAATTGTGCAAACATTACGTTGCGTTTTTTTCTTCCGTTTTCACATGCATCTGTATGACTGTGTTAAGTGATAGCAAGATGTGAACATTCCCTGCTGAAATTGCCAATTTTTAAAATATATGTTTTCTTAAACAAGGATTGTGAACATTTGTAGGTAAAAAACGTCCGCTAAAAGTGACCTTCTGCTGCCATCCCTAAAATACAAGTTGCACCCTACAAAGCAGTGAGTTCCTACATAGGTTTGGGCAATGTAGCTAAAAAAATAAATATGTTCTTGCGAAATGCTGAAGTACATGAGCAATTTTAGTGTTTGCACAACAAGAAACACCCAAAATAAATACGTTTATACACATTTAAATAAAATTAAATAGAGTATGGGACTCAACTTGATACCCGTTAATTGAAAAGCAAGTAAAACGCTGAGGTACATGGACGTAGAGACAACTAGTTCCTGTTGTACCGACAAGAAACCCAGGTGGCGGCAGACAAGCATGCCCAGGGAGACCTGCACAGTAGCCATGTGTAGGGTTATCGAAGGATCAGGCCAAATTTTTCTAATTCTGTCACCAGTATGTATCGATGTTGTTTTATTAATCAGGCTGAATTCTTGCAACAATTCACCTTTTATCCAAAGCAGAAGCATTAGAAAGCTGAGGCGTCCATGCTGGATGATGTCCATGTTGTAGAAGCCAGATGATCATAAACAACAGTCAGTGTGTTTCCAGACATATGAAGAGCTGCAGGTGAGAGTGTCGCTGCTTTGTGTGATGTTCTGTGATCCTGCTGCATCAACGTTCACACGACGGATCAAAGTGTAACTGAGGATTTGTGGTGCTTGACTTCCCCCTACAGTACATCAGATAGAGGTGTAGAGGTGTGCTGACAGTGTGCTGGGGTTTTTGTTCAGCCTTTACATGTGTCTGTATCACTGTGCTCACTGACAGCACAGAAATACAAGCCTTCGTCTTCTGGCACCAAACTGTTTATTGTGAATGTTCCACTGTGAGCGTCAGGTTTGGTGACTGAGTATTTCTCTTTGCTGAAACTTCCAAAGTCTTGTTCATCGTCTTTTTTGCCTGTAAGTGTGAACACGATTAGTTTCATCGTT